AACGTTGACGTGTCGGAATGGATAAAAAGTAAAGGGGGTTGCTAGTGCCGGAACCTACTCCTCATCCACGCCAATAGTCCCCAACTATGGCAAACAATATAGATGCACACACCAGACGATGTTAAGTAGCGCCTTATATATATCTTCGTCTACTTGAGGTCCAGATTGTACCTTGATTACTATACTCGTACCAAAAAAAAAAAAAAAACGAACGCACAGGTGCCCACGCGCGTGTTTTATCAGTAAGATTACACTGGTAATCTCATTCAATAATTACCTAATTTCATGTGCCACCGAGATTTTTCCTGTCGGAGTAAAAAATGACTCATTTATGGGCAGCTAGACGATCCAGTGGCTCGAGAATCGCACACCCGAAATGTTGAGTTACCGGAACAAAAAAAAAAGCTCGAAAACTAATTTCATCAAACTATGACTAGAGATTGGCAATAATTTCACGCCGATCCATAGTGAAAAGGTAATTGAGTTTAGTAACGAGAATAACGATTCCAAGTATAGCAGTATAGTAGCAGTGCTTATCGCTTAGCTCGTTAAAAAAACAGTGCAGGTAAACATATTAAAGCTGAGCAGGACTGTTTGACAAATAATTAGCTGAATTCGCGAAAAATCAAAAGCAAGGGAGTCAGTAAAGAAATCGGCAGATTGTCGACCGATAAGGTAGTGTTATCAGTGTTGTGTGGAAGGAGTCATTGCACGGAGAAAGCGAGAAAAAGAAGCGTCATCGGTATATATACACAGCAGCAACAGCTGCCACCTCGCATGTGCGCACACACCCACATGTACGCGAGGTTTTTTGGATGTGCCAGCAATTCGCTGGATTCGTGAGTTTGGAAGCTCGGAACGCCCCTGGCGGACAAAACTGGCGATACTGTGTCCTCGTGACTTGAAAGCCGTACTTCGTATGTTTAATCACTCAATAAACTAATTTAATAAAATTTTCATGCTTTCTTGGACACTGAAATCTAGAGTGCGCGATATATATATATATATGAGACAAATATAAGAATATTCATTGTGGACGCACATTTTAAACCCACGGAATTAAATACAAGAAAATAAAAAGGAAATTCGTTTAGTTGACAAATCAAGTCTTAAATCTTCTAAAAATTAGAATTATTTTCACATCGGGGGTACACGGTACTGCGCGATTTTGCCACCGCACATACAGAGCGCTGTATATACTTTGTGCATGCACGCTCTGAAGCAAAGAGAGAGAAAGAGAGAGAGAAAAATCGGGCGGTGCTTCCTCACTATGGTGCTGCAGCTGCTTATACTCGGGCGCGCATATGTGTATGCGCAAGTGACGCACACCCGCGATATACATAGCAATGCGTTGGCTTACTGTACACTTACGGGTTCATCGTTCTCGGTTATGTAATGTGTTTGACTATATGGTACAAGCGCCCCGACCACTCTAGTGCTTTTCTTCTTCTTCTTCTTCTTTTCTCCTCCCTCCCTTCTTCTCGCTGATTTTGCTTCTGCTGTTGCTACTGTTGCTCTCGCTTACGTTATATATATACGGCTGGCTCTCTGTTTCTCCTTTCGTGCTGCTCTTCCTCCTTCTCCTCGCTTTTCTTGTCTCCACCACTTTGCGCCACCTCGACTTCGTTTTCGTCTTCTTCTCGTCTTGTTCTTCCTTCTCTTTATCTCCTGTTTCTTACCGTGTACCGCAAAATTTTCGGCACATGTGTATACCCGACCACAATATTCTCTCCTTCTCTCACATCCTCTTTTTTTCTTGGCAGGCTTCTCGACAGTCCCCGGCGACGTCAAATTCGAAAAAGTTTGTTTATTCCTTGATTTTTTGCTCTCTTGATCAGTCTCGTGCGTTTTTCACAGTAATTTTAATAATTAAATTGCTTTGTATTTTCTTTTCGATTTAAGTACGTACAGACATAGCATTCACTTGAAGATTTTCATTTTCGATAGTCTTATTTGTTTTGCTGTGCTAAAATACATCTCTATATCAGTATGAAATCAATTAAGAAATATTTAATCATGGCCAACAGAAATTAAATTAAATTAGTCAAGTATACTTTACGAATGATATTCACAATTAATTAATTATAAGATAAGAGAATTCAATATCATTTTCATTGGATTTCACGTTTTTTTCAGTTAGTTGTGGAATTTTTTTATTTTTATTTTCAACCACCACATCATACTACAGTCTTGGAAATAAAAGTTAAAACTAAAGTTGAGCTCCAGCTTCTGGTTGTTATAAAACATCAATTAAATATAATTTGATACTTATAAATTTAACTGACTCGATAACTAGTTAATTTTATTACAACAAAAAAAGAAAAGTGATATTAATAATACAAAAAATAACAATATTAATAACAATAGAAACAATAATGACAACAATAAAAACAATATTTAATAAATAAAAACACCCAGAAAGTTGGATGTTTTTATTTATATTCACCGTGCAGAGAGCAAGTATATTATGCTCCGGTCCGCTGTCTGCGCGTATTTTGCTATTATCTACTATCTATTATCCTTCTAACCGCGCCGCCTTATACTTATACATTTAATAACAATAATAATAATAATAATAACAACAAAAGTATAGGCTTAACANACAATTAATATACGACGTACGACGGATATTCACTAACTTGAATCAAATACAATGGGCATAGTAAGAATAAAGACGTGATATCCAAAAAAAGGTGCCCAATTTTTTCGTAGAATAATAATAAAATAAACTTGAGCAAGAAAGGTGGCAAAAAAGTATCGGTGAAGAGGGAGAAGGGTACGATCGGTTGTATAATATGCCGCATGGAAGAGATTACCGCGCTTTGAAAGAAAAACTTTGCGACGAACCAGACAAAAAAAATGCTGACGTGCCCGTACCTCTCCTGACTGACTGCAAATGGAGAACTGCAACAGCAGTAGCAACAATTTGTCAGTCTACTGTAGTCAACCTAGCTGGGGCGCCGACAGTACCAGTACCCAGCATCACCACCAAGCGGCCTCTAGGAGTTTTTTCACTGGACAACCTGAGCCACAGGACGGGCGTAGGCTGCAGGCGAATTCTATTAGAGGTACAGCGTTTAGCCACTTGGACGATTCGAGACATTCGAAAGGAGACTATTATTCTGAGTTTTGCTGCTACATAGTAGAAATTGCGTTGTATATGTATATGTATATATATATATCTTACTTTCTCACTTCGACTTTTACTAAGAACTGTCGGGTGAACAATTTTACCTCAGATTTCTATGCATTAAACAATTTAAATTTTTTCTTATTCTCATGATTTTTATTCAGCAAACTAACAATTAACATTATTGTAAACTAAGAGCTGCAATTTTTAGTTTACAATTATACCCTTTTAATTGCAAAAAAAATGGCGGGTCATAATATAAAAAAAATTAGTTGTTTGGGCTATGAAGGAATAGCTACGGATAAAAATTGTTGAAAATTGTATTTCTATTTAGATTAGATTCGTTCGATATTTAAGTCACCAAGATATCAACAAATATTCTGTGAAATTCATGATTTTCCTATGCATACAAAGCTACCGTACATACAGGGGTCAAAATATTAAACTTGATTAGATTCATTCAATGTTTTGTGTTGGACACCCTGTACTTTTATTTGAGAATAATAGACGGTTACAGAAAAAGTTACTTGTAGCCTTGTTTAGCAAATTGATGGTATTAAAATAGATACAATTTTCTTTCTTAAATATTTTTATAACCGAGTACTCGTAAATAATGGTAGTTTTCCTACGAGTTTGAAAAGTCTCTGTTTGCGAACCAAGAGGTTTGCGGCCCGAGCCGAAGGCGAGGGACGTAACGAGGTTCGTAAAGGAGACTTTTCGAACGAGTTCCGGAAAACTGCTTTTTCGCCCGAGGAAGTACCAGCCTCCCAAAACCACCCGAGGGTGGAAAATATTCTTACGTTCAGTGAGAATATGGATTTCCAGAAAATTTAGATTTATGATTGTAATTAGACATAAGAGCACATAGTTACGATCTCGAAGTTACAAAACTGAATCATCAAATTAATTGAAAAAAGCTCAATAAACTTGCGAACGATCTATAGTGATTGCAAGTAGATTTAGTAGATGAGTTTAATCGGCTTTATTTTTCTTAGTGCCTCCTTAAAGACTCTTGGATCTGATTTTTTGCATTTGAAATTAATGAGATGAACTTTATTGTTCGTCACAGGTTTTTAACGAACCGTACATTATATTTTACTACACACATAAAACATAAAAAATTAAGTTTGAAAGTATTTAAACGATTTCAATACAGTATAGATCACCCATCTCCCTTTCTCTACTACACATCAAAGCATTGAATTTTTAATTGTTGGGAAAAAAACTTCCTTCGTGTTAATTCTGGCTTAAATTGCAAGGTTTGTGGCTGATCCTGGAAAAAATTTTTGATTAGAAAGAGATATCCCAGAAACACACGATGTCTTGTATAGCTTACTCGGAGTCACTGTGGGTGAATTCGAGACAAAGGAGGGGTTGGGTGACGAAAAGGAAAAATGAAAAAAAAAAAAAAAAAAAAAGTCTGTAAAAACTACTAGATTGGCATGAACAGCAATTAAATTTAATACACACATAAGGTTTATTTATATATTGTCTCGAACGCTCGATGGACGTAGATAAAGATACGTTTTAAGGATTGGGGATAATTGTAAAGCACTGAACTGTTTCGGACAGCTAAATCGAACATTGCGCGTTCTTCTATAATAGAAGAACGTATGCGATCATAAATACCCATCAGAGTAGCTTATAACTTAAGGGTACTCCCAAGACGTATATCTATGTTTGAAGTCGGAGTTTGGTGCTTTTGGTACACCCAAAAATTGATAAAAATTACCGAGTCCAGATGACTTTGACCCCCAAATCATGCATGACAATTTAATGCTATTCAAATATTTACCTATATTTGTATACGAGGAGTTTATAAAAATGTCGCTGCTAGTGCATTTTTTAATGTCCTTTGTTGTGTTCACAGCCCAGATCGAAATAATCCCGTGCAAGGTTTGTGGTGACAAGAGCAGCGGCGTCCACTATGGGGTGATAACGTGCGAGGGCTGCAAGGGTTTTTTCAGACGATCGCAGTCCTCAGTCGTGAATTATCAATGCCCGAGAAACAAGAACTGTGTTGTCGATCGAGTCAACAGAAACCGGTGTCAGTACTGCCGGTTACAAAAGTGCCTAAGGCTGGGCATGTCCAGAGATGGTGAGTGCTTTTTATTTTTTTAATTGTATTTAATGATTCTTTCATATTTGTATATTTATTTTTTTTTTTTTTATTGTAAGTTTGGATTTGTTTTACTAGTATAATTAATAAGCACAAGTATAATTTAACATCGCGTTTGAATGAAAAAATTAATTTGCAAGATTAAATTGTCAAAAGCGTTAGTGTAGTAACAAGAAATATGCCCCAAATGTCCAACTGGCTACTTAGTAAAAAAATTTATCAATACAAATATATAACCAAAAGGAAACTATAATTTTTAAGTTGTTTGTTTTATGACTAACACGCGCAAGAATAAATAAAAAAAAGAAATTATTTAAAAATGTAAAAAATTACTGTAATCTGCCGTTTACTTTAAAATTAATGATGGAAAAAAAGCGAAACCAAGCAATTATTTAATATTATCTTTTAATCTCTCATTTATAGCCGTTAAATTTGGACGAATGTCAAAGAAGCAGAGGGAAAAGGTCGAGGACGAGGTGAGGTTTCACCGGGCGCAAATGAGAGCAGCGTCGGAAACAGCACCAGATAGTAGTGTTTTCGAACACCAGACGCCAAGCAGCTCGGATCAACATCACTCTTATAACGGAGGGTCAGTTATTAACTTAAACTTTACACAGCACTTGTAAATTTACGATAAATCACTTTTTTAAGTTTTTTAAAACTATTCGAGTATGCCTACTTCCATAATTTATACGCCTAAATATTTTGCTTCAATTCAAAATGAATTAAAATATAACCAAGAAATGATTCTTATGAAATGAAAATATGTATTAAACAATTAATATACGACGTACGACGGATATTCACTAACTTGAATCAAATACAATGGGCATAGTAAGAATAAAGACGTGATATCCAAAAAAAGGTGCCCAATTTTTTCGTAGTAAACAAATTTGATTAATTTTTTATCAAAAAATAATCAATATTTACGTAATAGACGTACGTTGTTGATAATATTGTAGAAAGTGTCTGTTAGTTAGCATGAAGCTTCCGTAAAATATTTATTATCGCTATTTTTCAGCAAACTATAATTTGAAACACTGATTTTTAAATAAATTTATTTTGAAGTTATTTTATTTCCATGGCTTCGTTGCTATTAACCGATGTAAATATTTTAAAGTAAGTTCATTAATATTTGAGGTCACAAATACCTGATAAAAATTTCATCAAGATATATTATTTAGTTTTACATCTACTGACAGTCATAAGTCACTTTCTCACTGGACATGGTGTAAAAAAATGATGGTTTTCGTAAATAATTAAAAAATGCTTAAGCCTATTACGACTCTTCCAGAAGGAACGAAGTATAGAATATTTCGCCACTAGCGAGGAAAGTACGGCTAATCTTCCCGGATATGATTTGCTATCTGGGAAGTGCATTTGTACTTTCTTCTGTTAAAAATGACGTTTTTTCCCAGTTTTTAGAAATAAGAGCGTAACGCGATGTTCCTCTGATAAAAATCGTATTATCTGCTTACAAGGAAAGTGTTTTAGTATCTTTTGTGTGAACATTGCCTTACGAATCAAAGGCAAGGAAGGTAAACACAAAACTGATAGAAAAATGTTTTTTGATCAGTTGTTAATGCATTATTGAGAAAATGTACTTTCATCTTTGAAAATAAAGAAAAATTTTTTTTTGCCAGAGTATGGAAAATATACTGTTTATTGAAATAAGATGTAATTCTTACTTTACAAATCGACCGACAGACAGACATTTTTTCTAAATAATGTACTTCAATCTTTCAAACACAAAATGAAACATTTCTCATACGTTTTATACATAAATAAAAGCATTATTTTATCCTGAAACAATCTGTACGTCTGTAGTTACGCATACGGAGGTAGCGAGTATGCGTCGCCGGGGCCAGGAAGCGGAGGATACTACAACGCGGGTTTGGCAAACTACGAGCTAAGCGCTGACTACGTTGACAGCACGACGGCCTACGACCCACGGCCGACCCAAACGCAGGTTGACACAGTAGCGCCCGACACGGCCTCCGTCACCGCCACGGGGGTCATGCCCGTCGTAACCACTGGTAAGTCACCACTGCAGTTGCTACTTTGTTTTATTTTTAATTTATTTCTTATGATTCCTTCTCATGTTTTTCTTCATCATTTTATTCACAACAAAAGCGTTCGAATTTACGAGTGAGGATTCGGTCGGATATTTAAAACTTCCATTTCCAAAATGCTGTTTTGATTTTTTTCCAACGCTAAATGTAGGTAGTAATATAATTTTAAAAAAATTGTTTTTTTTCGAAATTTTTGAAAATTCTTGGTTCGTTAAAAAAAATGTTTACATTAAAATAACGTGGTTCATATCGAAGATGATACAAAGTGATGATAATTTTTTCGATATCAGATACAAAATTAATAGATTCATAAAAGATATTAAGGTTGTATAAAAAGGTTTAAAACTGCATAGCTGCAAGTTAAATTTTTTTTACATATTTTTTTTTGATATTCTGGACAAGGGAGCTTTTAAATGAGACAATCTTTGCAATATCACGGTTTTGGGCTGAAAACTCGTATTCTTTGGTTTTTGTGAGCCTTTAGTAACTCTTCTCTCCAACAAGATCGCACAAAAAAATTTCGTCCAAATTTAATTCTACCCGCGATAGATTCCAACCAATTAACACGGCAACCCTTTCGTCGCTTACTTCACTTCTGGACATGTTACTTCACTTTTCTTAATCCAAAAAATTAAATAGCTGGTAGGGAAAAATTTTTCGAAGTGAGTTTTAAATTTAGTGAGCTTTGAAGTTAAGATTCAAACCCAGGTGTGCACACTTCACGGGTAACCGCGGTAGCTGTCAGTTTTAACCGTACAGGGGTGTTGCAGAAACGTATTTGAACTCAAATTTCAACTCATTTTTTCATCTCTCCATTTAAACGGTTCAGGGAACGCGAAACATCGAGTGGGTACCCATTTCATTCTTGATATACTACTCGATTGCGCTTAAACGTCTTTATTATTAGTTAACGTTAAGCGTCCATACGCAGTATACGTTAGCTATCTTGTTCCACCCAAACAAATGTATTTCTTAGATTTCCGCAACTTATCTTTCTATTTAGCAGTCCTCAATCATTTATTTATTTATTTATTTTTTTGTCATTTTTTAGGTTAATCTATGGGTAGAATCATACGCTGCAGTAATTTCCGTAGTATAGAAAAATTTTGGTTGGTTAATTAAGGCTAAGCTTTCGCATTACATTAACTTTTCATTCCACGTTTAAATAAAAAGACGTAATTCACGTATGAACTCAAAAGTAGACAAAAAGCAGTGAATCTTTTGATTCTTTTCGTCTGTTCATTATAAAAGAAATAAAATGTTGACTGACTGGTTTATATTACCCTTTAGTTGACGATTTTATATTACCTATTAATTAGCAACAGTTAACTAATTCACAAAATAAATTTTGCAAGCTAAAAATCAAAGAAACATTTCATACATTTCAGGCCAAAATTTTTGCAAAGATGACAAATTTTGTATGTAACTACTTAAAGAAGCTTAATCCAGATTAGTTTATTAAAATTCCGCTTCGGAGATTTTTGCAGCTTATAATATCTTCCCTAACTTTTACCCAATTTAGCAACTTTTTCCAATTCAAAACCATCCTTACTTGTACAGAAATGCATATAACGTTGAATTTATTATTGCGTTTGAATTAACAATTCTTTTTTGTCCAAGCTTTTTTCGCAAAACTTATAAATTTCTTCCGTAACAATTAATATTTATAATTTTTTTTTTCAATCAACATCTAACAAGACCGAAAATTTGGCTGTCTCAATGAGTCAGACTAAGTATTAGAATGTATTGTTCTCATTCGACAGTGATGATGTATGTACCAAACCAATAATAACGTTGGTCCTGTTAGTTACAAGTTGAGATATTTTATATAAAGTATCACAAATTTTTACTGGTAATTTAGTATATGGTTTTTTATAGTTACATGAACTTAATACGAAGTCGTTTATCCAAATAAACTTAAAAAAATTGTTTACGCGGGCAAAGTGAAAGAATTTCATAAAATTATATCTTTGATAATATTGTGTGATTAAAAGTAATGTTTTTTATTTAATATGATTTTTTTTTATAACATTACTGGTAATATCAGTATGGTTGCTGTTGTTATCGTCATGTTATTGCACATTTTCATCAACTTTAATCATTTCTACCCATTATTTTTCATTTCCCTAATGCACTAACGAGGTTTGGCTTAATTAAATAGAGATTCATCAGTTAATCAGTCATTAGAGTTCATCAATGTTTGACATAATTAACCATAAGGGTTTTCGTAAATTTGCTAATAAAACCGCTGATTATTGTGAAGAAAGTTCAAAGAAATTTCACGTTTTCTTCTTGATATTTTTGTTTTGTCGAGTAAAAAACGGCATGAAACAGTATTATTCACATTTTAAATTTCTCGAAACCACAATTGATTTCTCAAGCTAAAATATGTCCATACACTTGAGTCCGCAAAACTGAAATAGCCAAGATGAAAACATAAGCGTGTTTCCCCGAATCGTTTTTGGAGAAACCTGCCCATCCCCTTTCCCTTAAGAAAAAAGAAAAAAAAAAAAAAAAACGAGAAAAAAGAAAAAAAAAATCGGCATAGGCGGGACGACGACAGGCACAGCCGGCAGCAATAGCGCGGACGCAACTAGCCCTGGCGGTGGTTGTGGCGGCAACGGCGCCGGGGGTGGCGGCGGTGATACCGCCAACGGGGCTGGAAACAACGCTGGTGGGAATAGTTGCACGGTGTCCAGCAACAACCGTACGAGCAGTGGTAACACGGTGAGCGGCGGCGGATCGCTGAGCGGTGGTGGTATCGTCGCGGTCAAGCAGGAAACCACGGTCGAGCTCGCCAGTCTTGGCCACGGCTCCTACACGATGGTCGACTCGACGACTTTTCTCAGCGGGCAACAGAGCACGCCCCCCACCGCCAGGCTACAGGCCTCCGCCCAGCTTCAGACGGACGACGATGAAGTTCCCAGTATGTCCCTTGCGATGAGATGTGAGGCTGTTTACGTGATGTTGTTGTTGTTGTGGCTGCTGCAGCTGTCGTTGTCGTTATTCATGTTGTCTTTTTTTTTTTTTTTTTTTTTTTTTTTTTTTTTTTTTTGCTGTGTTTGTGGCTCTCGCTCGAATTTGCATGATTATAATGTTCATTACAACACACCACAACCCATCTATCTCGCTCGCCACCGTAATATCCCGTCTCTCCTGTTTTTTTTTTTTTTTTTTTTTGTAAGTGTGCAATTTTACAGTTCTTTTCTATCGCTTCTGTTTCACGAATATTTGAATTTCAGCTGTTGACTATATTATTAATTGCTGTTATTTTTATTACTATTGCGCTTTAAGGAAGTCTCGAGCATTTTATCAGAATACAAAGAGCAGTAGCTGGAATTTCAATGTATCTCTTGTTTTTTGTTGTTGCATATTTAGCTGTTCACTTGCATAAGTATATATTGGATTTTTTTCCCCATTTCAGTTGTTTAGTTTCGCATGGATCTATGTTACGTTCTTCTTTTCTTGCCGTTTTCATTTTACGTATACACACATGTGCACGTATGGACACCGTCGCATTACGATTGGGTTGATATTAATATTATCGGGCTCCATAATGCATTCACACAGGATAACCATTGATAGAATTGCACACTCGATATTTCCATAATCATTAGTATAAGCAAGTCTAAATAATTTGTACGTACAACCAAAAAAATGGAGCTTAATTTTTCGTAATGAAATTTTTGATCACAACATAGGGCTAATAATAAGAGCAGTCATGGGTATCGAATTTCCAAGTCATGAATCACAAATGTTAAAGAACTCGTGAATCTGTTTAAATAATACATTTTTAGCACACATTTACACAGTTTTTAGGATTCATATCTCCGTTATCACACACATCACTTCTTTCCTTTTGATTTACCTCTGACCCAAGGTTATATTATACATTACTACCTAATCGGATCACAGTTTTGTTATAAGATGGGATTACTATACATTTTACTTACTGAAATTACTGAATAAAAAATTTCCAAGATAGCACGTTCAAATTGCTCATGCGTTGTTATTTGAAAACTTGTGGGACTCGATTTTTGTAATACGAGTGCCTCTTTTTAGAACTTTTTTATGAAAATAAATTTACATTATGCACGTAGATATCGAAAAAAAAAAATTGTTCTTGCCATTGCCGATACCGATCCAAGTCCCGATGATTCACGAAAAATCGAAAAAAAAAAAAAATCATCGTTAGCTTGGAGCGTATCGGCAGCAAGAAAACCTGCCCAACTCGTCCAAAAGATCGAAGAATATACTAAAAGACAATCGTCCCCTTTCCCCTTTGCCCATCGGAATTGCAGATCCGCAAGAAGTCAACGAAATGCTGGCGAAGGCGATAGCAGACGCACACGCCAGGACGTGCCTGGTGCCGACCGAACAGATACAGGAATCGTTCCGGAGTTGCCAGCCACGCGACACTAGGCTGCCGTACTACCTGGACACGAGTCACGAGCAGCTCTGGCTCGAGTGCGCCCAGAAGCTCACGAACGTCATCCAGGTGATCATCGAGTTCGCCAAAATGGTCCCGGGCTTCATGAAGCTCTCCCAGGATGACCAGATAGTCCTCCTCAAAGCTGGTGGGTCTCGATCGTTTCCTTCACTGCCGATGACTATTGTACAACCAGCCAACTTATTCGTCAACCCATTTATTCCAGGTTCCTTCGAACTGGCAGTGCTACGTATGAGCAGGTACCTCGACCTCAACACCAACTGCGTACTGTACAGTGAAACTTTGCTGCCAAAGGAGGCATTTTTCACGAACGACACAACCGAAATAAAGCTCGTGTCTTGCGTCTTTGATCTCGCCCGGAACATCGCCGAGCTGAAGCTCACGGAAACAGAGCTCGCCCTTTACAGCGCGGCTGTACTTCTCAGTCATGGTTCGTATCGATGCCAATATCATTTTGATTGTACGTCATCGTTCGGCTGTAACATTTCGGTTCATCCGACAGATCGACCGGGACTGAAGGGCCACGCGGAGGTCCGAAGAATTTACGACGCGGTGCTGCGAGCCCTGAGGTCCGAGCTGGACCGCAGCCACTCGGTACCTTTGAAGGGGGACGTGACCGTGTGCGACGCGATGATCGCCAAGATACCCCAGCTTAGAGACGTGTCCCTCATGCACATGGACGCCCTCGCCAAGTTTAAGCGGTCGCAGCCTCACCTCGAGTTCCCGGCCCTTCACAAGGAGCTCTTCAGCGTCGACAGCTGAACGCGTGACGGAAATCTAGTCTTGACATCGAAAAGGAGCAAGCCCGACCAATCATCGTCATCCTCATCGTCGTCATCTTCGTCGCCGCAGCATCACCAACAGCAAACACCCCCAAACGACGACGACGACGGCAATGACGGCCACTTTGAGTAATAAACAGCTGGGGCATTGCTCTGTCAAGGTGCGTTTATCAATTTTCGTTTATTCGTTTTGCATGTTGGTCGAGACAAATGCTGGCATTGTCTTTTTCTACACCGTTGGTTTTCAGACCACCGAAACCATTTCAATTGACAATACTAATTGATTTTTTTCTTTTCAGATTATTTCCTTCGTATTGAACATTTTGGGCCTTAAATAAACATAATATTGTTATATAAAGTATAAACAGAGCAACATAAAGAATATAAGGAAGATATATATATATATATATATGCATACATATACATATATAGATATATGTATATGCATGTGTACATGAATACGTTTATTGGAATACAATATTAATATAAATATAAGATTATGTATACACATACAAATATATATGTATATAAGTATAGTATTATATATTTATATATACATATATTTATTTGTATCTTAAAGAGCTATCGGTTGTTATGACAAAACAAATACACACATACACAGAAAGTGATACACCAACAACATGCACATACATTATTGACTATGGATAATTGTGTAAGAAGGATACAACTAGAGCGACCTCAAAACAAACAAAATGTGATTCGCAAAAAAAGAGAATTCATAAAAAAAGTGACTGCATGTCCGACAAAAATTACGACTGAGCAAGCTGCGCCTTTTACTGAACTGTACAGATCAGTTTTTGGTAACACATGTCATAAAACATGTTCGGCGTGCAAAAGTTTGAAGCCGATGTTGATGAAAAATTGCCACAATAAGGACGTCAAGTTCAACAGTCACAAAAATAAAGATTAAAATTACTCTAAAAGTATTCGTGCTTAGTTCAATTAGGCTACAAATGCATTAATGGGTATGTCGACACAATGTCGTATGACAGTCATTTAATTGATTCATTGGACATGCAAACAACGATAAGATTTGCTCGGTCGTGACAGAGGACTGTATGATGATTCTTCAGAAAGGCACAAGTGATGAATTAAAAGCTAATCACGTTAAAAATTGGTATTTGCTTGTTTTTGGGTCCCTCCACTCGAGCATTGTATTTTTAATTTCATTATTCTCATGATTCGAGTGCGAATAAAATAAAATGAATTTAAAAATAGATATTGACAGTAGCAAGTGTTTTGTCGACGATACGCGCCCTTTGTAATACAACAGAATTTCTTTCAATACGCTTGATAAAAAATAACCATTGGCTAATGGAAAAATCATATACATGCGAAAGCAAAAAATGTAGATCAAGTGATGAATTAAAAAAGTAGTAATAGTTACGATAGACAAATTTTTTGTAATTTCGACTCGTTTTCCGGAAGCGCGTAATGCACGTGTGGCAGTTATCTGTTTTTATCCTGTCAATTTATAATAGTTTAAAAAAAAAAATAATAAAGAAATAAATAATGGAATCTGGTATTCCACTTATTGCAAAGTTAAAAGTTATATAAATATACTGTAATGTACAAAATATTTCTATGAAATTTTTAATGAAAAAAGGCAAACATAATTACTTACATTTTTTTACTTATCAACTGTAATTATTTATATTGTTGGATGAAAATAAAATATATTGCGGAAATTGTGCGCAAGAGTTTGAATGAAAATAAACACAAATTTTACGTAAAAACATACACTGGAGCGCGCGCGCATGCAACACACAACTTTAAATTGCACCCGAACTAAATGCAAATGGTGGTTTAGATAGCTGTGATAAAGATAAGCTAATAATTTTTTTTAGCAGAGAAGAAAAACGTAGTTGAGATTCATTTTAATTTTTGAAGCTTCTGAAACTTTTAATTTGTACAGTACTCTCGTTATCCCTGTTTTATCTATTTTACTCTTTATCTTTGCACTTAAATCTTTTTTTTTGCTGATATTTTAATTTGGTTGTAAATTACATTATATTAAATTTAATTACCAACAAAGATTGAAACGATTTCAACAACGTTGTTACTCTGTTCTTTTCTGAATAATCAATATGAAAGTTACATCATTTATATAGTCTAATTACCTCTTTGTTGTTTAATTTTAGATGTCATAGGCAAATATAGTTGGTATAGGAAAGTCGTAATTGGTATTTATATATAATATATGTAGAACGCAAGTATTTTGCGAGCTGTGCTCGAAAAATACGAGAAACAAAAAAAGCACCTATATCCATAAAGAGTTGAACGGCAGTAGGGTGAGAAAATTTTTCATTGATTGCACCGGAAAGCGAGTCGTTGTTATCACCAGTGGAGCATAATTTAATTTACGATTCACAAATAAAACGGCGATGGAAAATAAAGAAAAATGAATAATGGAGATTAACCGATTGTGTGTATCCCAACATCTCTGTTATCGTGAACATGTAATAATAATTGTTGCATAATTGTGATATGACGTTTTAAGAAAAATGAAGGTTGAGTTGAAAGATTATATGAAGGATCAAAATCGTTAAAAGCGAGTAGAGGTATATTTAGAAAATAAAAAAAGTAAAAAATAAAACAAGCATTAAAGAGTGAAACACTAATAATAGAAAAAATCACAAAACCTGTAAGTAATGTTTGCATCTGTTATATATACTTACGTACAAAGAGTGAAAGAACGATATATATGCATTCAAAAATAAAAAGATGCAGTAAATGCGACTCGCGCATGAATATTATTGTAATTATCAAATAGATGAAATTCGCAAAAAAAATGTGAATGAGTGAGACGATGCGCAAACTAGTACATTAATAATGAACTAAGGCGTGACGTAAATATCATAATAATTTTTATTATAACTGTAATTATTATTGTTATTTCATTATCATTATTATTACTACTATTACTATAATTATTATTATGATTATTATGAATATTGTTATCATTATTATTGTAATTCTTGTAATTAANGCGCCAAAAGGTGACCAGCTGATTAACTATTGTTTACATGTGCGAACGCACGGTCAGTTAGTTAAGCCAGGGTGGGGGTAGGTACCAACCAAAAACTTAACCAACGCATAATTTCCGAACACAGCCTTGGTAAGTGAGAGAACTTTAATGCGCGCTAACTTCAAATAAAACGTAAAGGACTATGATAAAGGTAAGTATTATAGATATTAATTCATATCAGATTAATGTCCAATGGAAGGTGCATCATTGCGATGGACTCCCATGACGAGGCGCACAACCACCGGAAGGTGACCCAGCCAGGATGCACATATTAATTTTGATCTCCTGCAACACCATCACGGATTGGCGTACGCATTGTAAGTGTGTTCGATCAAGAGGTTCGGAATTTGGAGCGCTAATGTTAAGTAAAATCACCATACGGTGGCGATTATCGAAAACCTCTAGAGAAGATTATTTGAAAACTAACGCTAAGAGCCTAGGTACATAAAATTCCATGAGTGGAAAAAATTATTACGAGCCTCGAAAAGAATAAACCCAACAAAGCTTTAGTAGTAAAGTTTGTTCAGCTTATGAGTATGTTTTACCTGGTCTCAAAATACATAAAATCCATAGATCATGGTTGTAATCAGAGCTATAAATAATAAAGTTTCGGTGACTTCACCAAGAAAACAGCATTAATTTACAGAGTAAGTAATTTAGGTATATAAGTAATAACGCGTCATACAAAAATGATCAATAAAAACCATATACTATCAAGATTTCAATAATAACACATAGTACATTAAAATTTGCGAAGAGTGCATTGATTTTTACGTTTAAGAAACGCCAATAGTTTTTTTTTATTATATTACGATTGAAGGACCAAAATTTTTTGGAATAGTTCTTTCAAAAATTTCTAAACGCTTTTGTTCAATTTTTGTTATTGCTTTTTCGAAATCCAAAGAATTTTATAGACTTGAATCACAATTTTTCAATAGATAATAAAAAAATCTTGTATCCAAGGTTGGTAAATTTTTTTCAAAGAAGAAAAATTTTTTACGTCTATGAGGAATCATTGTATTAATAATGATAATAATAATTGTTGGTAACAAATCTTTCATCAATATTAAATTTTCAAGTAAGCATAATCCCAAGTACGTAGGATTTGGTACACATTCATAGACACTCGCACGCACGCACACACTTACACACGAGCGCATGCAAGTGTGCATAGAGCAACTCGTTGCCGAACGATAAAAAAAAATTGGCAATAGGTGCAATACCGTACTGATAACCATCAAGAGTAAAAAAAAGACCTTTGTTATGTAAAAAGATTTTTAAATATGACGCACTCTGGAGGCAAAAGTACAGAATGTCTCAAATCGCATGCGTATCATCTCAAACTGCTCGCCTTCGGCTCGGGCGAGAACCGTGCGATCTGAGCTTTTTTTACTCGCGCCCTATGGTGCGCATGTAATTTTGCGCTTCAATGTACGGAGAAACTAAAACTTTTCGGTTCACGGAACGAGCTGAAAATTTCACGTTCGGTTCAAGGGCGCATTAGAAAATATTGCATAAAAATATTGCATGTTATACCAATGCACGTTTGCGCGACCACGTTGATTTAGCTTTAAGATTCTAGTATTTTTAAAAAGGCGTCGATATTAACATATTATCCTCAACGATGGTTCTCAAATGCATTAATTTCATGTGTCGAGTTATTTTTGGGTTTTTTTTTTTTTTTTTTTTTTTTTAAGAAAATAATACACTTTTCTGACGAAATCTTAACTTTCATTTTTGTTGTACAAGAAACGTGAAACAAAAATGTGGCCTTGAATATTTCAGTATTTATTGATTTAAAAGTGAGAGAAAAAAATGTAAGTATGTAAATAAAATTACTATGGCGTATAATTGAGTCAAAATACAAGGAGAAAAAATATGCGATAAATAATTGTGGAATAAAAAGCTTTGAGAACCATGGCTCAAAGGAGACACGAGAAAATTTAGACTTTACACTTTCATTATAGTTGTGGATGAAAAAAAAAGTTTTTTTAACGGAGAATGATAAGATTTGTTTAATATAACGTCATGAAAGGTGCAAGTGATTAACTTGGTTTCACAAACTCTACTTTTCTGTTTCTACAAATCTGTCATATTTGGATTTTTCATACTGTACTAGTAACTACATTATATTCATCAGACTGCAGGCATTAATTATTGTAAAAGCATAGATTTTTGTAAAATTAATAATTCTTCGAGTGTGGATAGCCAGTTGTAACATTCAAGTGGAACTTTTGTATGATAAATCAAAGAATCAGCGGAAATTCTTTCATCGAAAATGTAAGCATGAATTAATTCAAACGTGAAAAAAGAAAGATAAATTAAGTTTTGAAAAAAATTCAATTTATGATCGGCCTGATTTTTAATACGATTGTATACCTAATACGTTGCGATGGAACAATTGTTTTATAAATCCTGCGATCCCCGCATTACATCATTTGAATCTTGACTTACGTACTAATAACAAGTAACGATATGGATGAAAAAAGTAAATCAAGACTTAGTTGTTAATAATTTTAGGAATTTTGTAATTTTCATCCCATGATGAATCAGTGAATGTCTGAACAAACTATTTTTATGTATGGCTTATTCAACATAGATTTGTATTTGGCTTTATGATAAAACGGAAGAAGCGACGTGTAGGCGTACATAACGGTGGTTTGTTTACCGAACGTTTTTGTATAATTGCTGTCGAACTGCTGTCGGCTCGCGCCACTTTTGACACTTGCGACTCTTTTGATTGTTTGTTTGCGCTTCAATACAATACTGATATATTGATTCTATCGTAAAAGAGGATGTTTGGTGCTTTTCTGGATATAAATATATAAACATTACAAAACGAAACGGGAGAAAAGATTTGTTTCGTTAAAACTGTTATAACAGGTTATAACCTCTGATTAATGGAACAGAAGGAAAATTGTTGCGACAGAGTACGTAACTACAGCAATTAGACTTGTATTCTATTTATATTTAATTAGTTAGTATTACACACCTAAATGCAATACTAGGTAATTGATACTATACATAATTTTAATCGCCATTATTATAATTATCATTGATGTTAAAATTTTCCTTTCCATCATTTACATAATTATTACCAGCTATTTCTCATTGTTATCTTCCATTTATCATCTACTTCTTTATCAAGTGATCATACATATTATGCGCTTGTAATTTTTTCTTCATCATGCATAATCTTATTATTATTATTTTTTTTTTTATGGATACACCTTGATCAATAATTGCGACCACGATAGATTGTACATACTTTACTGCCGACATGAAGAACGATTTTGCTTTTATTATGACTAAAAATAAATTCACAATTATTAATACTTGGCTGCATATTTCTTTTTCATTTAGTGAGAATATTTAATACATACAAGAACTGATGCTACTTCGTGAGACTGTCGTGAAAGCCTTATATTGAAGAAGAAAAAAAAAAAAAAAAATTAATCAAGTTGGTGAAAAATTACCCACTTTTTAAAATGTTGAGTATATAGGTGATCGTTTTCCCAATAGGGTGGGGTAAAAAAAAAGATTGTTTTTTAGGGGGATCGCGGATTAAGACTGCTGCTACTTCGAGACTTATTGTGATATAGAAATGAAAAAATTAATACAATACATCGTAAAAATATCTTTTTTCTGATGAGTTAAAAATGTGTTTCATGATTAAAAAATTGTTTTAATTTTTTAAGCGATCGCCATTTATGATTTTAATGAATTTTTTTTTTTTTATCGAAGTAAGAGAGAGATTTTGACAAAATTACTTTTGTGAGTAAAAAAGTTGATAACAGTATTATAAAGATACCTACCTTGAGGAAAGAAAGCCATGTAATTTTCAAATGACTTGCAAACGTTAATTCCATTTCCATGATTTAAAACAGCGCATTGATTCACTACCATCGTGAAAGTAGTGAATGTTTGTAAACATTTTTTTTACAAAAGAATTTTTCATGTCCTCTTCTGCAAACAACTTTTTATGATTAATTTAAAAAAAAAAAAAAAAAAAAAAAAAAATACATAAAATCCATAGATCATGGTTGTAATCAGAGCTATAAATAATAAAGTTTCGGTGACTTCACCAAGAAAACAGCATTAATTTACAGAGTAAGTAATTTAGGTATATAAGTAATAACGCGTCATACAAAAATGATCAATAAAAACCATATACTATCAAGATTTCAATAATAACACATAGTACATTAAAATTTGCGAAGAGTGCATTGATTTTTACGTTTAAGAAACGCCAATAGTTTTTTTTTATTATAATCTTCGAATAGCGATAGTAAGATGTATAAATATGATAGGACCTTAAATTACAATGTATGTAAATCTAAGAAAAAAATTTGACTGTGTTCGCTAAAAAAAAAGAGTGAAACAATGTTTTACGGAAAAAAATATGTGCGTGCGCGTGATACATCCTGCAACTAAAAACCAAACATCTTTGATTTACACTTTCAAAATAAAGTAAGCAAATGACTATTATATGTAGCTGCATATATGCAAAAAATAAATTACAGTTTCATCAAAACGTAATAATAAATTAGTTTTATTGCACGAAATAACACACGTAACAGGTTATACTTATAATTTAATTACTTTCCAATACTAATAATTGTTATTATTGATAGAATGGCTATTATTTTTCAAGAAATTTTGGTTCATGGCAATTCAAAATACCAACTATATTACTGAATAAACCATGATTATTGTTATTGATTTTTTTTTCTACCCAATAGTGATCATTCTTATATATTCCACACTAGTGAGAAGTAATGTATGATATTGCGCATTTCTAGTCGTTAAAATTCTTAATTATCATTACAAAAGGGTTTTCAGGGTTTAATAAATTTGCTGATACATTTCTTGTTCGTCAGTAAGATGGTTTTTTGATGAGAAATCGTAATTTTTATTCATTTTTTTGATTTTCATTTTATGCATGGCTTGCCAATTTCTGTACACACCTCACCGTACGTCCATTATCGGTCTTCTGAAAAATTTGCAAATTATATAGTCAAAGATTTACAGTTTTTAATAGTTTTGATATACTGCTGCGTAAATTTTCAGTTTCCTAAATTTCATAGGTACGCATAGTAAATGTTCCTTTTTGTGAAAACTAGCATAAGATTTTTGTTACAAATATAGTCAGTCTTTAATGGTATTATTTCCAAGTAAATAATACTCAAAGTTTGATAAATTGAAAAGTACTTTTAATTATAGAAGAAAAAAAAAAAAAAAAAATTACGTAAAAGTAATCGCTCAATAAGTTTATCGAGCTTATTGTAGAAGCGATTACTGAGAACCTGTTACTTAGACCGCAATAATTGCATGTTAACATTATCTATTGTACATATTGGCAACGATTCGAGTGATATCAAACGTATAGTATCCGAAAACATGCTTTTGATCATGATTTATTGGCATCTGTAATCTGTAACTGTAACTGTACAATATATGTATGAAGAAAAAAAAAAAATTAGAATTATCATCGTAAGAAAGAAAATCGACAATATACTTCCATCGCTAGGATATCTGTTAGTTATCATTTACCCAAAATGATGACGTACGGGCTGATTTAAAACACGGAATTATTTTTAAAAAAAATTTAAAAAAGGTAAAAAAAATTTTTTTTTTAAATAATTCCGTGTTTTAAATCAGCCGGTACATTTCGGCTAGCAAAAATTGTGTGGTATACGTTAGGTGTAACCTTTCTGTTAACCGTAGTATGGTTCGGTTAACAAGCAAAAAAAATAATTTTTTTTTCATCGCCCCATACCTCGGTTCTCGATAAATGGGGAGCATTAGTTTAAATGGACGAAAGGTTGGAAATCGCTTCTACTGCAATGTTACCAAGTATCATCCAGTTATATTGCTGATGCTATAATTACGCATCATTGCTCAAACTAATAATAATAAAGAGGCAGAGCATCACTACGTTGGGCTCTGTTCGGAAATGATACGTTGGTTAAGTATTAAGTTGGTACCTACCCCCACCCTGGCTTAACTAACTGACCGTGCGTTCGCACATGTAAACAATAGTTAATCAGCTGGTCACGTTTTGGCGCACTTTAAGCGCTTTTAAGGTTAAAGAGAGGACTTGAAAGCGCTCAAAGTGCGCCAAAACGTGACCAGCTGATTAACTATTGTTTACATGTGCGAACGCACGGTCAGTTAGTTAAGCCAGGGTGGGGGTAGGTACCAACCAAAAACTTAACCAACGCATAATTTCCGAACACAGCCTTGGTAAGTGAGAGAACTTTAATGCGCGCTAACTTCAAATAAAACGTAAAGGACTATGATAAAGGTAAGTATTATAGATATTAATTCATATCAGATTAATGTCCAATGGAAGGTGCATCATTGCGATGGACTCCCATGACGAGGCGCACAACCACCGGAAGGTGACCCAGCCAGGATGCACATATTAATTTTGATCTCCTGCAACACCATCACGGATTGGCGTACGCATTGTAAGTGTGTTCGATCAAGAGGTTCGGAATTTGGAGCGCTAATGTTAAGTAAAATCACCATACGGTGGCGATTATCGAAAACCTCTAGAGAAGATTATTTGAAAACTAACGCTAAGAGCCTAGGTACATAAAATTCCATGAGTGGAAAAAATTATTACGAGCCTCGAAAAGAATAAACCCAACAAAGCTTTAGTAGTAAAGTTTGTTCAGCTTATGAGTATGTTTTACCTGGTCTCATTGTACGAATAACGAATGGTCCAGCATAACGCATGCATTTTGTACATGTATATGTATTACTTATCTATGTATTTGGTACATACATGCATATTACACGATGTTTTTTTAGTTACTCGGTTACTCCTTATATATGTATATATACACACATATAAAGTAGCTCCACATATATTCGTTCGGCTTCGATCTCTCCGTTTCCGTGCTTCCATCCCATCCGTCGATCGTCGCATGTGTGTAATCATACATCGGCTGCTGTGCAGTTTGCAGAGGCTTGTGAGTTGTGCGCAAGTGTTGCGCTGCTACAGCAGCAGGTGGTCATTTTTTCTGTGCCAATTGTGTGTCAAAAAACAGCGTTGCCTGCCGGGAAACGAACTCTTTTTATTTTGTTTATTTTTTTTTTGTTCATAGAAAAACTCTTTGTACCTAACTGAATCAGCACTTTTCTTACCTGGGGGATGATTCATACTCTCGACAATACCTGTGCATTGACGTTTAACAGGTAACTGTACGTCTCTGTTCTTTTCTTCATCATCTACCTCACTCTCGCTCTCTCTCCCTCTCCCCGCACTGTTAAATAGCTCAAAGGCCCAGAGACACTTCCGTACACCTACCTTTAAGGCCTCTGATAATGTGTGACTCAGCAGATAGCTCCCTGATTCAGAAACTCAACCACTTAAGGTTTGAGCATGATGAGCCTGGTATCGGTGAGCGAATGTCAAGCTCCAGACCTGAAGCTCAAGTGCCAGTTTCTGGAGCTGGTGGGCCAACAGTTCGATTTGCAAACACAGAGGATCATAGGCCTAATCAGTATCCTGTAGATTATGGCATATACGAGAGCTACTGCAGTGACAGAGAAAGACTTACCCGATTGACTTCTGAGGACAGGATGAAACAGTACCTCGCCCAACAGAGATCCGAACAAGAAAGAAATTCACCTGTGTATGAAAATATTTATGTCAATGATGCATCTTTGTACCCCAGGGAAAAATATCCACCCCCCTTGGATACTGTCAAACAAGTTTTGAAGAGTGCTGGAAACAGCCCAGGAGCATCTATGGCTGGTGAACAGTACAGTGGAGGATATAAAGGCTTTGAAAAGGTGAGTTAATAATAAAAAAAAAAATAATACCAATAAAATAGTGATTTAAAACGTTTGTCCTTGGTAGCTTTGTTTAGATTATTGATGTGAATCACAAGTCAAAATGTTTATTTAAAGTCTGACACTTTTTTTCGATTTTATGTCATAATAGACATCTACTTGACGCAATCACTATTATATCACTCTTACAACTTAAACAGATGACTTGAAGTAAAGCAAATTAATTAAATTTTATTAATACTAACTTTCACAGTCATAAGGTACAAAAAAAATTTTTTCAACATTTGGTTTCACAAGTTTTCTATGAAACAATTAATTTTTAGAATCAGTACGTAGGAGCATTACATCAATTGGATCATCATAATCATCATCAACACCTTCATCAACAACAAATAAAAAAGGCACAACCCCAAGTACCAATCAACAGATATCAAACGGCTTCACCAGTGAGAGAAATACCTTATATGCCACCACCAGTTTATGAAAACATTCAAGATATTCACTACTCGGAGCTAAACAAAGAAAAGGCAAGACCTCAAGCGCCCATTAATTACCACCATTATAATCCCATGAGCATCAACGGCGGAGATTACGTGGTAATGACTGGAAAAGCTGGGCCAATGGCAGAACAAAAAACGATCAACTCACAAAGGCATGTTCGTCCACCTCATCACGATGAACTTTTGCGACGATCATACCTTCAAGAATACCAGCCTAATCCTCCATTGCACCAGAAAAAAAATAACAATGAAAATAACAGCAACAGTAGCAACAGTAATAACAATAATAACAAAAGCACCTACGTCCCACCATCAGAGCTCCAGCAGCAGAGGAATATACAAAGCGAGCAGTACCAGCAAAGATATAGTGACCCAGTGGACCAGAAGTTGCAGTACTCGCAGACGTACCGAACCTCGCCTCATTCCACGAGCTCGAGTGACCCAAGATACCACGCTTACACGAGCTTGATTGACCCCAGCACCAACAGCAGCAGCAGCAGTGCCAGTACTAATAACAGTCACTATCGGCAACAAGTCCAGTCGTCGAACAAGCAGTTTGTCGAGCGCACCCCCGCGGTCTCGAATCCCGTAAATCCTGCCTACTCTGGATACGACTTTATGTCACGGTCCTTAAAACCAACCTACGAGTCCCAGAGACAGACGGATTCTCCTAGGTTTGTAGGAAGAACAGTACATTTTTTTAAATTAATTTTATTAGGATATGGGTAAATGGATCAGTACCTACTAGTATTATCATCATTGATATTATTAATTTTAACAGCTACTCGCCAGTCCATCTCAACCAGGTGGGTGACAGAGGCTGCCATCAACAGTTGCAGGACACGCCCTTGGATAAGACAGAGCATCCGCATCGAGCTTCAAGTATAGTATTTGCCAACGAGCCTAGCTGTTTGTCCTCCTCCTCGGTATTTGATGGTGGGAATCGTGTCGAGAACGATCCCTCCGATCCTTCGCAGTCTCCCACGCGGCAACAAACGAGCTGCTACTCTGAACCTGGTCTCTGTCAAATTTCGCCTAAACGCGACAGGGAGCACCCACTGCGTGGTCAGGTGCAACCCGCGGTCTCGAGCACGATCTCGGATCCTAGCCTACCCCCGGGCGTGACGAGTGGAGTCGCTGGTCCCGTCGTTCTTGGCGATACTGGTGGTCTTCTTCCAGTGTCGATGCACAGGAAGATCGAGACATCGATGGACAGCAGGATGAACGTCGCTATGCCTGCCAAGCCCACTATTGGCAAAAGCTTACTGCCCGTCAACGTTACACCTCCAAGGCCATCGGTAATCTACTGTCTTACCTCATATTATAAGTATGATGATTTATTAGGATCAATCTACGATGTTATTACTCGTCAGTTTTGTGTTCGCTAATTATCAATAAAAAGACATTTGGCAACGATTTTTTACATCAACCGTGCATCTTTCACGTGAAAGAACAACTAGATCAGTTACAAAGAAAAATAATACTACACATTTAAACTTGACGCGATTTAATTAAAAAACCAATGTACACATGAAAAAGCAATTACACAGATGGTTTATGAAAATTTTAGGGGCCTACAGAAGCAGAAAGGAAAATCGAAGAGTTGACAAGGCAACTTGAAGAAGAAATGGAAAAACAAGAGGAAGAAGGCGAATATTTCGGTAAAAGTTTTTTTTTTTTTTTTTTTTTTTTTTTTTAATATGAGTTGCACCATGTAATAGTTGAGTTATCAACACGTTTCACTATTTCTGTACTATGAAGATAGCTATGGGTATTGTAAAAACTTTTATACTCATACGTATCAATATTAATAGGTATCTGTCACACATGTCGCGAGAAAGTAACAGGCGCTGGGCAAGCTTGTCAAGCAATGGGTAATCTTTACCACACGAATTGCTTCATCTGTTGCTCCTGCGGCCGAGCGCTTCGCGGAAAAGCTTTTTACAATGTAGATGGTCGTGTTTATTGCGAAGAAGATTATCTAGTGAGTAACTAACACACTAAGCTTAACAAGTCATGAGCATAGCTTTACTTGTGCTAGGTAAAAAAATTGACTGAAATATTTTTTGTCCATAGTATTCTGGGTTTCAACAGACTGCCGAGAAATGTGCCATATGTGGTCATCTTATAATGGAAATGGTATAATATAAAATTGAACGACACCATAAAATTAACGGCATTTTATCAATCTATTTTTTTGCTTTTTGTTTTTAGATTTTACAAGCAATGGGTAAATCCTACCATCCTGGGTGCTTCAGGTGCTGCGTGTGTAATGAGTGCTTGGATGGGGTACCATTTACGGTTGATATAGATAATAAAATTTACTGTGTTAATGATTATCACAGAATGTTTGCTCCAAAGTGTGCTTCTTGTGGCAAGGGCATTACTCCCGTTGAGGTAAACGATATCGAAGTGCGTTTTATTTTAAAAATTTTATTTTTACCCTTTTCTATTTTTTCTTTCATCTACCTTGTTAAATCTCATTGCAATTGTTTGTTAATTATTTTATGTTATATTTTTTCCAAGAGTACAATGGTCAGTTCTCATAATTAATAAGATTTTCTTTTATTTTTTAGGGGACAGAGGAAACAGTGCGAGTAGTTTCTATGGACAAAGACTTTCACGTCGACTGCTACGTGTGTGAGGATTGCGGCATGCAGTTAACTGATGAGCCCGATAAACGATGTTACCCATTAGACGGAAAACTAATGTGCCGAACATGCCACATTCAACGCATCTCGCACATACAGCCAAGAGCACCTCAACCAGTCTCAGCTACTTATCAATATATGGGTTAAATTTTTTAGAACAATATTTATAAACTTTTCATACACCTACTATTTTTTCTATTTTTAATATTATTACCATTATGATTAGTGGACTTAAGTTATTTCTAATTGAAAATTGTCATACGATGATTTTCCTGATATGTGATATATTACGTTATTAGCGTATGTTTGAATGAAAGTAGCAGTTGTAACAAGCACGTTGATAATCTCATACTGATTGATTAAGTAAATCGAGTTATTTTGTTTATAGGCCGGAATGATTGATAACGTGACTGATTTTTCAAAGGTGTTATTAGTTGTGACATTTACCTGCTTGATACAAATTCAGTTAGGGTAATTTCGATGAATGTAATCAAGTATGGAAAATTGATCGATTAAGCTTACGCCTCGCAAATAGGGATAAAACATTAAATAAACATTACGTATGCAAGTATGATAAATTAGAAAAAATAATAATCTTGAGTAAACGACTAAAAGCATCTTGGCTATGTTACAGTAGCATAGAGATCGAAATAACACCTACTTGATGCCATTTTTTTCCTCAAAAATCTTGTTTCATTATTACGATCAAACTGCCAAATCAAGACGATTAAAGATAAGTGTCTAAATTTCCACTTACTAATTTTTATAAGATTTTTTAAAATAGTTTTACAATACTATCAGTATTTGTATAAAAAATAAATGCAATTGTAACAGAATTTTACCACAAAACATCAGTAATTAAAATGCGGAAAAATTTAAAGTAACTTTTAATAGTTTTGGTGACAGATTCAAATAATAATAATAATGCTGGTGGTGACAAATATTTTTTACCCTTTGTTGCAGTCTATAAAAAATTATTTAAAGTATGATCACTGAAGCAATTAAAATAAAGATTTTTATATGTATTTATACAAT